AAGCTGGCTGTTAGGAGTGCCGTATAGTGATCAGTGTGAGCTATTGCAAGTTTTGCAGCTGCTAGCAAACTTTGTGAACTGGACTATTTGTATGATTATGGACTATGTTATTTGGATTATCCCTTAACTGAAAGACGTTGATGACTGACTGTCTTAACCGTGTATGACTTGGACTGTTTGACTCTGATACCTCTACTTCCTATTTAAACTGCAGTGTCTCTGTATGCTGGTTTGTGTGTTCTCCAACACCACTCTCACAACACTTCTCTGAATGGGGAGCTTACCTAACGCTTTCGAACTGCTAGGTTGGCAGAAGCTGGAACAAGTAACAGGAGCTCACTCCGTTATGCGGTGCTAGGATTTCGAACAGCCGAACTGCCAACCTTTCTGATCGACAAGCTCAGCGTCTTAGCCACTGTGTGTCCTTGGTTCTAGCACTAAAGCTGTTACTTAATTGGTTAATGAAAAGTCTGCAAGAAATCAACCAAGCACAGAGAGCACCAAGAATTCTAGGGTTCAACCCGGAGCTGCAAACATTATCTTCTATTAGGACCACCTGGTTGGCCTAAATGAAAAGACTCACCTGCTCTTCTTGTACTTCAGATGCTTCTTTCCACAGCAAGAAATCTTCTGCTAGGGCCACCGCTTGGAGGGAGGTCTCTGGCTTATCTTCCCTAACCCAGTTTTGCATCTCTGGTGGCAGAATTTCCAGGAACTGTTCCAGGATCACCAGCTCTACAATCTGCTCCTTCGTGTGACTCTCGGGCTTCATCCATTGATGGCCGAGATCCTGGAGATGTCCAAATGCTTCTCGAGGCCCCGCCGCCTCCTCGTAGCGAAACTGCCTGAATCGCTGGCACAGTCCCTCCAACCTGATCTTGTCCTTCTCCAGGACTTCCTCACCAGCTTTCAGAGGACAATCCAAGCTTTGGATGGCATGAGCTTTCCTACTAAAGTCTGTCAGGACTTCAGATGCAACTATTCCTCTATACTCTGGGTTGGCATGAGGCATGGCTTCCAACAATGTGGTAGAGGAATTATGGTCAGCCCACTCTTCGGATCCAAGCTGCTGAAATTGGCTTTCTTTGGAATGAGATCTTTTCGGGATATTATGCCATGGAACCGCTGAACCCAACTCCTCTAATGGCTCTCCTTTAATCTGCAGGGGATCCACATTGGATGGAATTTTTCCAACCCAGTCCTCATGGAGAACATTTCTTCCTCCTTCCTCCATTTTCTCCCCTGGAGCTTGCTCAGAGCTTGTGGATGCCTGCATTTTTATTCCTGGCAAAAGAATTGGTCCTGGAAACAGGATAATGGGAGAGGAATTAAAGACAAGGAGGGTCATATCAACTTAGCCATGCCTCTTTATTTTCTAATGTCTTGTAGAATGTGATGGCCTTCCCATACTTGTTGGGACTGCAGCTACATGGGGCTGCCCTTGAAGACTTCCTGGAAGCTTCAGCTGGCCCAGAACGCAATGCTACAGGCAGTAATGGGTAGTATGCCCACGAAACACCTCTGTTTCCTGAATTGCACCAATTGCTAATTTGCTTCTGGGTACAATTCAAGGTGATGATCATTACTTACAAAGCCCTCATGGATTAAGTCCTGCTTAATTGAGAGATTGCCTGTTTCCCACAGTGTCTGTCTGGCCAATTTGATCTGGCAGGCTTTACTCTCTGTGAGTTCCTTTGATGTCTTTCAAAAGGTTGTCCAGTCTATTTTTGAAAACCTCCAGTGATGGAGTTCCCAGAACTTCTGGAGGAGGCCAGCCGTTACATTACCATATTTTTCAGAATATAAGACGAACCTCCCCCCCCCCAAAAGATGGTGAAAATTTGGGTACGTGTTATTCACTGAATGTAGCCCCACCCACCCACCGTCTCCCACCCTTTGGCCTCTGTCTTCCAGCAATTTACCCCCTTGCAGCAAATTGGGGGGGGGGGCTTGCGGAGGCTGCAATAGGCTATAGCAATCCCTGCAGTGTGAAACAGCTGATGGGGAGGCACACTTAAACTGAAAGTGAAACTTGCTGTTTGCTCCACTAGGCAATATGCTGGGAGGCAGAGGCAGATTTTTTTTTCTTGTGCTAATCAGGCTGTTTGCTGCAAGAAGGTAAGTCAATAACTATAAATGCCTATAGTATGTTCAAATTATTAGACTTGGTTTTTTAAAGACTGCTTTATTATTGTTCTAGACAGCTTAACAAAATGAAGAAGCTTTTAAAAATTAAATGCTTGATCTGAAGAGGCCCAGTGCTATTGTATCTTCTTTTAAAAAGCACAGAATGACTATACTTCCAGAAAGCACATCAACTTTAACAGCATCTGTACAAGTATAGTCTGAAATGTAACACTAGAGCAGTGATGGGCAACCTTTTTGGCGTGGTGTGTCAAAAATCGGCAAAAAATCGAGCATTTAATTTTTA